TATTCAAGCCTTGAAATTGACGTAGCGCGAGAATTCTGGTCTTCTAGCGACAGACTCGCCGTTTTCAAACCCAACAACAGTTAAGATAAAAAAACTATCGCTATTCATAACCTATATCAGATATTGGAACATAAAAACTTTTGCTTATGTTAAATGATGATAATTTTTACGATATTTTACAACATCTCGAAAAAGATACATCTACTCTATATAATTGCCTTTTTGTGAGTAGGAGATGGTGTAATATTGCCGTCTCTTTACTTTGGCGTAGACCCTTTACAGAATATGTTGTACCCTTTAATGATGATACGGTAGAAACTCGAGCAAAAATTACATGTTCATTAATAATTAAAACTTATATATCATGCTTTAATTATGAAGAATTTGAGAAATTAATTCAATAAGGTATTGAATTTCGATCATATCAAGAACCAATGTTCTCATATGCAAAATATCTTCAAGAACTTTCAGATGTTTCAATAATAAAATCAGTTAGATTTTATGCAATGTATCAAGCTCATCAATTTTCATTTCAAAATACATATAATCCAATAATAGACGCATTATGGCATATGTTTATGCGGCAATGTACAAAAATTAATTCTTTATCAATAACAATTTTATCACCTATAAATTCACCAACGGGAATTATGAATGTAAACAATATTATGGAAGCGAAATTAGCATTATCTCATTTAAGAAATTTTTCACTTGTAATCTCTCATAATGAAAATGATTATTGGAAAATTCAAGAACTTTTAAATAAATTACTTTTAGTATGTAATAGGATCGACCATATGGAATACGTATCTAATGGAAGAATAGAACCTAATATATCAAATATATCAAATATATCAACTATATCAAATATATCAAATATATCTAATATATCAAATATTTCGAATATTTCAAATATTTCAAGTATATCAAATATGATGGCAGAATTAATTGAAGCTCAACTTGGTATAAAAGAGTTCATATTTAAACAGAATGTAGATTGTTATTCAACAAATATTATAACAGCTCCTATGCAAGCACTTAAATCTCAAGTAGACTGGTTAACATCATTAATATTTGAATACGTACATTTTGATATTAATTCAGTAACAATCTTATCAACTATGATAAATTTGGATTCATTACAATTAAAAAAGTGTAAATGGAATAGAATAGATCGATTAAAAATAGTGTAAATGGAATAGAATAGATCGATTAAAAATAGTTAAAACATTATCAAAATCAATGTTTCGACTTAAATTTTTATCAATTTTAGAAGATTCATGGCCAAACGTTATAATTCCTACAATATTTGAGAGAACAGGAGATACTTTAAATCATTTAGTAATTGATCATGTTTCAATTTATGTAATTCAAATTGCAAAGGAATATTGTTTAAATATTAAAACTTTATATATTCAAATTGGAGTAGAAAATTTTGAATATATTTTTCCTTGGATTAAAAAATTAAAATTAGAGAAATTTAATTTAAAATTTTTATTAACAGGAAGAAGTCGTAGAATAACTTTATCAATCGAAGAAACAAGTAAAGTTTTACAACATTTAGGACAATCAATACCTTTAACTTTAACCTATTTAAGATTAGATGGAATTAAAATAAGCAAAAAAATCATTTGAACAATTTTTAAAAAATTGTAATGCACCATTACATACTTTAATTATTAGAAATGTATTCTTTGAAGATTTTGAAAATTGTGTTCCAGCGATTATTAATTTTGCTGATACTCATAAAACTTTAAAATTATATGGAGTTATCCGGCAAACTCATATGATCATAAAAAAATTTCTTCTTGTTATTTTTTTTCATGTGTTACTATGTAATTATGTTTATTCCAATATTCAAAATTAAAACAC